TCAGCTCCGTTTTAATAGACATGGGCATTTGGTTGAAAACTACTGCAGAAAATCACTGTCATTAAACATAAAAATACAGTACACATTCTTCACCCATCTGTCTACAGTCCAGATCTGTCCCCTATCATGAAGAGAAGACTCAGAGGGTGGAAACCACTGACTGATAAACAGTTTAAGAATATTTGATAACTTTAAATCCCTCAATCCCCAGTCCTCAAATGTTTAAAACCTAAATCATTTCTTTAAAAAAAAACAGTCCTCAAATGTTTAAAACCTAAATCTAAATTAGTATTTGTTTCACAATTATAGGGAGGTCAGTCAGTGTAAAAACTGAAAAATGTTTTATAGCTGTGTATAATAAATGATAAAAGGTTTGAGTCATTACTAAAATACACATCGGTTAAAAAATCACAGTTCAAGAAAGTGTATCTTTCGTGACTTTGACTTACTGTAACTTTTCTGGAAGTGATACTTGTACCAGGTAGACAAAACGTTAACTTAGTCATCAAAAACCTGTTCACCATCATGTAATCAGATATGATAAAAACAACAAGCCAGCAGCCAAATAGGCGTACGAACTATTGAAACCTGATGAATCAGCCAATTATTAAAACTAAGAAGAGGAAAAAAAGGGGGCGTGTCTCATTGCAGCACCTGTGGGGTTAAAAATCCCATTGGGTTCATATCTTGACAAGCAGAGATGGTATTCAGTATGGCCTCTATTTCCTGCTCTCCCATCAGCTGCAGTGCTTGTAAACTTTTGGGCAGAGCCGCCTCCACCGACTGCAGGAACTCCTCCAGCTTCTCCATGTCGTACTCCGATGGTGTTCCTTGTTGCACAGTACATGGTTTTGTCTGCTGGCGGCTGTCTAAGGGTAGAGTTACAGAGTTTCCGTAAGTCACGGGCTCTGTCACCACCACACTGACCAACTCACAGTCATCCTGACACGGCACATCCTCTAACAGCTCAGCTGTAGATAGCTCGTCATAGTCTGCTACAGTCCTTGAACGCCACCCAGAGCTGCCCTGTGGAGTCCTGTGGGTTGACCCTGAATACAATCTCTCTATGGGGTATTTTTGTTCATCGTTGCTTACGGCAATCTTTCCACTGAACTCATCCAAGCCAGTTTTTGCCTGTTTGGGGTCCCGGACCAAAGCACTGCTATGATAAAGAGAGTGGTTGTTCCTCACGGGTGTGAAAGGAAACTCCTCCTGTCCTGAACTCAGCGACCGCAGCGTTTTTAGGTCTCCAGACATGTGCATGGCCTCTGAGGAAGACAGGCTTCGTGTGCCGGGGCCTCCTCTTTTATGGTGACGATGAGCGTGTTTCTCCCTGTCCACAGTTGGACTGTACAGACCTGAGTCTTCTTCGGAGGTCAGAGAGCTGGTCATACTGTGACCCGTCCTGCCGTTCGTCAGCCCAGGTCTCTCCACGCTCCCAGTGCACAACGTCCCGCTGCGGCTGACATACTCTCCCAGATTAGTGGGAGCAAAAGCCCTCCATGACCTTCGCTGATGAGGATGGTCCTTCTTCTCTCCTCCATGGAGTCGTGACTTGTGCGGCACCACATCAGTTGCCCTGACGATGTTCCCGTTGAGCCTCAGTCCGTCAAAGACCATACGCTCGTGTAGCAGAGGAGGCTTTTGAGTCTGGAGTTCAAATGAACCTGAAGTTGAGAGGACTCTGTTCCCACACAGGCTGCTGAGATCTAACGTGCGATGAGTGTAAGGTAAGGTGCCGGTGAAGTGCCTGGAGGAGAGGCTGCCTTTGGAGCCTGAGTCTATCTGCTCATTGAGCCGAACAGTGTCATAAATGGATCTCTGGGGCACATAGCAGTCATCAATGTTCAGGTCCTCCTCCTCCCCCTTCCCCACACAGGAAGGGTTTTGTCTGAGGCAATCTGGTCTGCTCAGCGGCTTGCCCATGCTAAAAACAATTGTCACCACTCACAACAAGGAAACAATGAAGAATGAAGTGAAATCCTCTGAGGTAAATGTTGCTTCAGTGCAAACGGATTAAGTTTAAAAAAAATTAGTGCAATGCGACGTTTTGGATTTTTTTTTTAAATTAAGAAATTAGAAAAAAAAAATTCTCCATCTTTCTCGCAAAGAAATCCAACTGTTAATATGGCGACAATAAAAAAATATTTAAAAAAATAAAGACTGTAGCAACTATATAACAATAAATGTGTAAAGAAACAAAGCCAAATAAATACTTCCGGATTCCGATAGCAGCATTTAACTCCTCATTAGAAACAACAAGTCATCCATTTACAAACATATCCTCAGGTTCATCTGTGTCTTAACATTAATCCTCTGGTCCACAGTGTTCTTTTCCCATATAAGCAGCGCAGCATCACTGCTCAAAGAAAAGTCCTCAGTGCAAAGTGAAAATATCCACAGACGAATCCAAACGTGAGGGCAGGAGGAGAGCTGGTATAAACAAAAAAAGCCTGGCCTTTCTCCCTCATCGCTCCTCTCGCAATGACAGACACCCTCCTGGCAGAGGAGGGCTTTATGCCCCGCCCCCACTCATTATTCAGACAACATCTGCCACAACTCCATTTGTGCTCGGAGCTGCTCCGGCTCCTGTTGATTGGTGGATACGTGACCCTCCACCCCCTCTGTCTAATTCCCCCTTATGTCTGCAAAGCCCGTATCACTTCACTTCTAAGCCATCTCCTGCATCCTGACACAATCCCTCACTTTCTTTCTTTTCCTTTCAGTGACTGTCGGAATGGGGAGGGGAAAGGGTGTGGGCCAGCTTTTCTTTTCAGAAGAAAAAAAAAACTGGACAAGCAGGCAGCAGCCGTTCCCATTCCAATGACATCACACTTTGTAGGAATACTTGATAGTGTATATGTGTGTGTTTTTTTTCTTCATGTTTTTTCACACTTTGATCCTCGTGTTGTTGCTGTGGAGAGTTGCCACAGAGCCATCAGATTATTCCTAATCACTGCGGAATGTTGAAGGGGGCACAGGTTCCAGGTAATTTAACCCAGACGACTGTGCCAAGTGCACGGAGGGGGTTTTCCCCTGACTATGTTAGGAGAAGAAAAGAGAACAGAGAGGATAATAAAAGACATTTATTGTGATTCCTGGGTAACATCCCAGCTCGCCGGAGACTCCTATCAGAATCCTGAACTCTTTGTCCTACACTGCACATGTCATGACAAGGAACAGATACTGATAGATAAAATGGTGGCTTGTGTTAGTTATTTTTATCTACACAAAATGCAAATATCTTTGCATATACTTTAAAAATAAGAAAGGAACACATTTGTCAAACCTCAGCAGTTTCTCTTGTCAGCCAAGGGGAGGCTCTGCACCGACACAATAGCAGACTGTGTCTGAGCCACAGAGTTGAACAAAAAAGAAAAGCGTGTCTTTACCTTGAGGTCTCACACTTGATACATTTGAAATGTTCTGACTCACTTCATTTGAAATCTTCCTGGTGTTCAACTGTAACTTTAAATGTGTTAAATTTATCTAAGCTGTTGCTCAATTACTAGAGGACAGGCCAGTATTCATGGATTCAGTACAATATGGATAGGATTGAGTATTTTTATTTAAATCTTATTAAATAATCATTTAATAATAATTCAGTCTTTAATATCAGGCTTAAATGCATGTTTGCCACATATTTTAGTCACTCTTATACTCTAGTCTATACGATGTGAAAATTAGCGTACTTTTAGTATACTATATTTTGCCAAATATACTCCACATACCAGTGATGACAAGTCTCATTCAAAGTCGTGATGGATAGAAAACTTGACATAAATGCCTCAAAGCAACACAACTTTCACTGGCCCTGTATAGAAACTGTCCCATCGCGGTGTCACGTTTCCTCTCTGAGTGTATCATCGATTGTGTGGCAGTGAGTGAGCAACAGTACGTGGCCCCCCCTCACATTCAGTGAAGTGGATTTGCTATAGTATGATTCAGAACGCAAAAATCCCTCTTCGAACTGAAAGACACACTGAGGTAATGTCTGAAGAGAGAAGACACCCCCCCCCCACCACCACCACCACCACCACCCACCTTCAGCAGCGTTGACTCACTGAAGTGGTCCTATAACTTATACCCACAGATAAACGTACAACAGGTCGTTGAGTGTCCCTGGTCGAGTTTCAACAAATCTAGAGTGGAAAAAACCATAGTGGACACTTGAGGTCAACTGTGTCCCCTGAGAAAAAACAACCTGCCCTTAAATGGTAAAAACTTAAGTCCTGTTTATTACCTTGACACCTGGCCCACATGAAGCTCATGTGCCAACAACTGTGACGATAACGGCATATACTGCATATATGTGTGTATATATATATATATATATATATATATATATATATAAATGTATATGTATATACATACATATATATATATATACACATACATATATATGTATATACTACCCTCACTGAAATTAATTTTAATTTTAGAACCACCAGGGAAATGCATATTTAAATGATGCAACATATAGTGATTAAAAAAGAGTTTTCAGGGCTATTAAAAAAACAAACATCTTTGACCTAACACTCACATTAACACAGGGTGGTAAAATCTAACTGCAAAGTTTAGGATATCAATATTTTTAGATTCAAATTGCAGGCTCAGATTAAATAACGACCTAAATGACACCCTGCTGGCAACCACCTGGCTTTAAGACTCCATTTCTCCTGAACCGATGCTACATAAAGGCCGCAGCTCTTTTGTTCACAACAGATGCCCTGAATGAAGTGCCAGTCCCCTGAGGGTTGCCTGAAGCCTAAGGGTAATTTGCACAAACGCAAAAGGAAAAGCTTTTGTGAAAGAGCAGCGTCTAAAATATAAAACGTATCACCTCAATGTAAATAGATGCAAACCCCCATGAGAATAATTATTTTACAAGTTCGCTACTGTAGCAGCGTGCTCTGATCCCCTGGGGGGCATAAACAAACCTGTGAAATTACATAATGTGGAAAAACTGACCTTTATGCACCTGCTTCAAAAATATACAGTTTAACAACTTAACAAAATAAGTCACTATAACCAAAGAAATGAGAAAGTAGCTCATATGTAAAATTGCTTTTAAAACTCCATGAAAAAAGATTTCAAATTACCTTGAAGGCCTCCAGCTGGTGCTCAATGACATCTGTCTCCATGCCAACTGCCTCCTGCGTCGCCTCCTTGTCCACAGCACTGGAAAGCCTTTCTCCCACTTGGTTTAGTTTCACGTACAGCTCGTCCAGCTTGCTGAGAGTGGTCTTCACCTGCGTCTCTCGGCCTTTCCCTCTGTCCAGCAGTTTACCACACTGTTTACTCAGAGCGTCCAGATCTCTCTTCAAGCCCAACAAATCAGGCGAGGTCTCAGTCTCGAGCATCTTCTGACAGCTGTCTCTAGCGTTCGCCGTGTTGGTTATCAACTCCTGCAGCTTGGACACAAAGTTCTGGATGCCGTCCTGCTGACCCTTAAGTGTAGCCAAGTCCAGATCTAACGGAGCCATGCTGTCCAGTTCATCATCTAGGTCTGTGAATTGTGTGAACATCTCACGGATGCTGACCTGGAACTGTCCGATACCCTGCAGTTTACCCTCCAACTCCTGGCATGTCTCCTCTAGTTTTGTGTTCAGGGTGCTGTAGTCCTTTTCTAAACTGTCTGCCTGCAGTAACAGGTCTGTCACGCCATCAGCATCTGGGACACTCACCACAAGATCTTTGGCCAAGCTCTTCAGGTGCTCTACTTGGTTCTGAACTCCCTCTAAACTCTTGTGTTGGGCTTTCATGTTGGTGAGGTTCTTATTGCTGTGACCCTGAACCCCTTGAGACTCATAGGCACCCACATACTTCTCAGCTCCCTCCAGCTGACCTCTAGCGTCTTTGTAGGTATCATTAAATTCCTTCACAGTGTGTGAAATCCTCTCCAAGGACTCCTTCTTGCTCTGTAGACTCTCCACTAAAGTGTCTACTCTTTTGCCGACGTTAGCCTTTTCCTCCTTCACGGGCTGCGTGTCTACATTGGCCACCTCGAGAAGGCTGTCTGCAGCCATGTTCAGCTGCTCCACCATCCTCCTGTGCTTGTCAACATCCCTCTGAAGAGTTTTGACCTGGGACACAGAGCTCTCAACAGCCACCGGATCAGTGGTTAGTTTGATTTGGCCTTCACTGACTTCACACTCCTGAATCCAGGAGCTGAGCTGGTCAGTGTGCTCCTTGAACTTCAGAGACCTCTGAAGAGCAGTCTGGAGTTTATCTCCGTGCTCTGCCGAGCTCCTTTTTACCTCCTCCCAGTTGGAAAGCATGGTATTGAGCTGCCCTTGAAGTGCCAACTTCTCTGCACCATCAGTGTTCTGAAGAAGCGAATCCCCTTCCCCAGTGATTTTGTTGTAAATGTCTTCGTGTTCACTGAGAGCCTTCTGGAGTTTACTGTGTTCCTCCAAGGTTTGTTGCAGGACTTCTGCTTTGGCAGAGATGACCTCGGGCTTAGACTGGTCCTGGAGCCGCTGACAGAGCCAAGACTGGAAGTCTTTGGAGGTCTGATGAAACTGTTGAGAACTTGCAAAGGTTGAATTCAGCTGCTCAATCCTTAGTGCTGCAAAGACAAAGAGATGAAGACGTTAGTGGGTAAAACAACTCTCCAAAATCAGAACAGTAATAAAATAAAACTACGACACAGACCTGCTTTCTCTTCCAGCTGTTTGAAAGGTTTGCTGACCGTCTCCAGCTGCCTCGTCAAGTCTGCTTTCAGATAGTCCTCCGTCACCATCGCTGTCAGCTCTGCGTTGAGAACCTCGGCTTCCTTCAGCTTCTTCTTCTCCTCTCTCAGCTGAGCTGTGATGTTATGGACGTCCTCCAACTGCTTCTTCACAGCATCAGGCTGTGTGCTGTGGGCCTGATGGTCGGTCAGCTGGTTCTCCAGTTGAACAGATGCCTGACTGAGACTCTTCAGTAACTCCTGGAACTGACCCGTCTTCACTATGGCCTGGTCTATGAGGCTGTCTCTCTGGTCCAGCTGCCCAGTAAGGCCTCGCCACTTTTGACTGATAGCATCGAGCTGCTCTCTCACCAGCTTTCCGTTGGAGTGTTCCTGGTTTCCTGGGGAACTTAGAATGGCTGCTCCAGCGCCCTCCAGTTGTTCAAACTGAGGTTTACGGCTCTTAAACTCATTTTGCAGAATCTACAAAAAAAAAGAAAATTAAACAATAAATGAATAAATAAATAAATAAAAATGAATGTAACGCCCCAATATTATATTCTTTCTTCTTACCTGGACTTGCTGCTTCTGCATTTTCAACATATTTGGATCTATGGAAAGTGGTCCAAGGACACTCATCATGAGTTCCTTCTCTGAGAGCCACTGACCGAGCTGCACCTCTGCTGTTTGGAAGGTGTCCAGGTTCTTGTTGGACTGCTCCAGTCGCTCCTTCCTCTGCTCCACAGAACCACTGATATCTGTCCAAGCAGCATCTGAGCAGGAGGGCAGGGAAAAGTCACAGCAAACCACATTAGTCAGCACATAAACACATTTCCATCCACTGTCCTGCTGCTCTCCAAGCAACGCTGCCACAGTGGAGGACTTGGCAGTGAGACCATTGTGTTAATTTACCTGCAGAGACAGGGAGCAGGGTGGACAGACAAAGACAGAGCCACCAGACGTATCACTGCTGACATCTCATACGTTACTGTTTCATTTTGTAAAAGCCGTTGATTGCACTCCGGTGCTGAGATGACACTCTATATATAAACACAATTACCCCAGGCCATCTGGACACAACACCTACCTATTTCTGCCAGCATCTGCTTCCACTTGGATGCCTCGGGGGAGTTTGGATGAGTTTTAATCAAGTTGAGGAGCTTTTCTCTGAGCTTCTGGAGATGTTCCTGCTTTTGCTTCATGTTGCCTTCAAATGCCTGGGAACACAAACAGAACTGTTAATGCTGAATCATCTGTGTTTGAGGGGAAGGGGGAAGAATGTTTTTCAGGCAGCATTAGCATTAGCATCGGACCTTCTGTTGTTCAAGCTGAGTTTTGACTGCGTCTCGCTCGGTGGCGGCATTAGTCCACGATGCTGCTGTCTTCTTCATGTCCCTTAGCCACGTCATCATGTCTTCTGTTTCCTTTTGGGCCTCGTTCACCTCCTGCACTGAGCTGCTCAGCTCAGCAACTCGACTCTTCAGCATTTCCCCGAGACTCGAATATCCCTCATTGACAAATGACATGTTCTGCTGAATTTCCATCAGTTCTGGGGATGATTAAAATAAGTGCATCAATTTTCAAACTCTTGAACAGACGTTAACAGACATATTACAGCAGGTGTGAAGTTGTCATTATTATTAATGTGTGTCTATAGTCAGAATGAACCTAGAACTTCAACACTGAAATATAGTTCAGTTTTGCTACAAAAATAAAATTCAGTTTAGATTTCCACGACAGCTCCAATGTCATGTGCATATCCGTTGGCTATTTTACATGATCCTTGTGATAAGGCCAGAGATTTCTAATTTCAAATATATGCTGAGTATACATTTGGGTTTTGTTTTTTTGGTCCGGTTTTAAATTAGACATACACAGCATTGTCCAGTCAGGAAGGAGCTTGTGTTGCATTGCACATGTAATAATAATTTTAGGTGCAAAAAGAGACTGAAAACTGCAGCACCATGTTAACTGTTGTAGGTTATTATATTTCATGATTTTTGCCAATTTAACAGCAAT